GCTGTGATCATAGCTCATTGCAACCTCGAATTCCTGGGCTCAAGTAATCCTCATCCCTCAGCCTCCCAAGTAGTTGGGACTAAAGGTGTACCAGCTAATTTTTAAATTTTTAGTAGAGATGGGGTCTCACCATGTTGCCCAGGCTGGTCTCAAACTCCTGGGCTCAAATGATCTTCCCACCTCGCCCTCCCAAAGTGCTGGGATTATAGGCATGAGCCACTGTAGCTGGCCTAAAGCCCAATTATAATGGCATCTATCATCTGATTAAATGTCTGGCATGTTCATGGCACTATGCTAAACATTGTATGTCTATTTCCTCTATTCTCACAATAACGTTCTAAGGTAGTTATTCTCCTACACTTAACATAATAAGAAAACTGAGGCTTTGTCAGCATTGCAAGTTTAAAAAAAAAAAAGAAAGAAAGAAAACTGAGGCTTATTCTGTTCAAAGCCACACAGCTAGTAAATGGTGGAGCAAAGATGCAAACTTAAGTCTGGCTGGTACAAAGCTTCCTTCCACCGTACCTTGCTGCTCTTCAAATATGTTTCAAGCCTGGACATGGTAGCTCACGCCTATAATCCTAGCACTCTGGGAGGCAAAGGTGGGAGGATCGCTTGAGGTCAGGAGTTTGAGACCAACCTGAGGAAGAGTGAGACCCCGTCTCTACTAAAAATAGAAAAAATTAGCCAAGTGTGCTGGCACATGCCAGTAGGCCCAGCTACCTGGGAGGCTGAGGCAGGAGGATCGCTTGAGCCCAGGAGTTTGAGGTTGCTGTGAGCTAGGTTGACGCCATGTCACTCTAGTCCAGGTAACAGAGCAAGGCTGTCTCAAAAAAAAAAAAAGAAAGAAAGAAATATTAACTAAAAACTTAGGCAAATTACTTCAGGTGGCTTCAAATATCATGCCAAGTAGTATTTGTATTTTGGAACCAGGTAAACAAAATCCAGTTGATAAGTTAATGCTATCATATAAAACTAAGCATAAGTTCCACAGCCAATAATTATTAAAATGAAGTTAATTATTACAGATACTTCCAATTATTCTACTACTAGTAGAGAAACAAAACCAAAGCTATTGCTGTTGAGATAATGCAATACCTCTTGTTTGAGCTGAAGAAGTAGTTTCCGAGTGGATGCTGCCATTTTGGCACAAGAACAGGGGCTCCCTCCAGGACCATGACAGATGCAGGCTCCGAGGACTGCAAGCTTTAAATCCAAAAGCATTACCCCCATTAGTGAGTGTTGCACTGTTTTAGCTGCACACAAACACAGGGGCACCCACACACATACCCATGCACATTACTATTCAAGCATCTGATCCAAAGAAACTGGAAAGGAAAAAACAATAGAAGAAAGCTGAGACCAGGATTTTAGGATGGATATTAACTACAAATGAGGAAAGACTGCCATTACTTGGAACAAAAACATAAAGGAATTTTACCTTCCTTCATTTTACTCTTAAAACCTATAATCCTGGCATCAGTCCCCATAATTCTGAGTCCTTGGCAGGAGGTTAGCCTAACAAAGTGGTTAACACTGACATCCATAGGGTTTCCTGTGACCGTTTGGCCCTGAAGCCCGAAATTCACTAGTGTCAGTTCCCTCCGAGGAGAGCTGTGTACTCAGAAGATGAGTGCATTTTAATGTCAATGAGGAAAACAATCATCCCTCCACTCCTAAAAAAAATGAATAGTCCATATGGGTCACTCCTGTGTAAAAGAAAATAAAATTTCAAAGCCCTCTAAATTTATTATGTCAAGGAGGACGTTAACCCCTGGCGACTGAGACATTTAGCATGTTTGAAATTCTGTTTCTCAGATTATAGATCAACTCTCTTCTTCATTGTTCTTGTTCTGTAAATGACTAGGAGAGACCAGAGACCAGACTTTCCCTGCTTCCAATCACTGATCTTTGTTATAGATTAACTGCTTGCTTTATTGTCTTGGGCCTAACACAGACCAGATGGTGCCCAATACCCCAGGAATATTACATCTTCAGTGTGATATGTTAAATATACCTTTCCCAAAACAAAAAGACCACCTTAACTAATCAGATTGTTGTAACTATGCATTAAGCCTTACATAAAAAGATGCTGAAATTCTGTTAAACTTCTCTAAACTTTGTCTGTATAGGTGATCCCAAACTTCTACCCTTTGGAACACTGACTTCCATTCTTTGGAATCTGTTCTTTCTGGGCAGCCTGTCCTCAAACTTTGTGCTTGAATCAACTCTCTTTAAACTAAATTGTGATCCTTTTGATTATTTTAGGTTGACACCTGGTTGACCACTGTAGTTGGAAGAAAAGTAAGAATTTTATTTTTTTAACCCATTTTTGAAGCTAACCACAAATTACTTTCCCAACATATTCCAATAAGTACCAATTTAACAGGGGTAATCTATGCAACATAGTGTGTCATGTCTTTTAAAGTTTCATATGGAACTGACTATGAAATTATTATGTAAGCTTCTTCCAATTCCTGTAAATTTCATATAGATAGGCTGTTTTAGAGAATTTTAGGGAGGAAAATTCCATAGCCTCCTCTTGTATAAAGGCCAATTCAGAAAATTCTTTCTCACATCAAAAAAAAAACTGTGAAGCACAGAGTTAGCTTTCAGTTGGGACAAATGTACAATGGTAGATATGTGGCAAATATGTATTTTCCGTTTTCTTTTTCCTGCTCCTAATAATTACCCCTTCCAAAATTGCCGAAAGTAACCAAGACACAGGTAGGACCAACATAAAACACGCCAGGTTTCGGCAAGGACCTCTGACTCCTAATGCTACTTCCTTCCCTCAGTGCTCCTTCACCTGGAACAAGGTCGGGACCCTTGTTCCTGCCCGGTCTGGGGTAAGGTTGGTCCCATAGCCTACTAAAGATTAAAACAAAACAGTTTATTTTTCCTTTTTTTTATCGGCAATCGAGCAAATTCCAGATCTACCACCTACTAGCTGTGTGAGTTCAGGCAAATTACTTAACCTCTCGGTGCCATTTGTAATGTGGGGATTATAATCAGGGGTATTGTGAGGATTAAATGTGTCAATTTATGTAAATTACTTAGAACAACATCTGGTACTTACCAAGGACTAGGTAGGTATTTGCTATTATTATTAACAATTTTGCTTTTTTGAAATCCCACAGTGAATGAGTGGCAGCCCCTCTCACTCCATTGTTAGGCTTATTTCTTTTAAGTCCCAGGATCCCTTTTTTTTTTTCTCTTTTTTGAAACAGGGTCTTACTCTGTTGCCCAGGCTAGAGTGCAGTAGCAGAATCACAGCTCATGAAACCTCAAATTCCTGGGCTCAAGCAATCCTCAGCCTCCTGAGTAGCTGGGACTACAGGTGTGCACCATCATACCCAGCTACATTTTTTATTTTTTGTAGAGATGGGGTCTTGCTATGTTACCCAGGCTGGTCTTGAATTCCTGGCTTCAAGCGATCCTTCCACCTTGGCCTCCCAAAGTGCTAGGATTACAGGCATGAGCCACCACGTCCAGCCCCAGAATCCTTTTGACCTTATTAACCAAACTCCCACATTACAAGCCATTAGCAATGCATCAGCAGACCTTTGTTCTTAACCTGGCTCTACCATTGATTGACCTCGTTGGAAAAATACTTGAACTTATCTGAGCCTTAGTTTCTGCCTCTCTAAAATAGGGATGATACCTGCTTTGCAGCCCTCACAAGACTATGAAGTAGATCAGGTAGAATAATGTGTGTAAAAGTACCCTGAAACCGTAAGCCTCAACCCAGGTATGAGACACTACTACATAGCTTCTGCTAGAGCTATAAAAATAAATAAACAGGGCAGGAAGTGGCCAGCACATTCCCTAGTGTTCAAGAATGTCCTGCATGAAAGGCATGGTATCAGCAAGGCTGGAAGAACCGACAAGAACTGGCAAGCCCAGTGGCCTCTCTAACTCTCATTCTCAAATTGCTGAAGTATGCACTATTCTAGAACATGTAACAAAGGGCAAGGGGGGAAAGAAAAGGAAAGTAGAAAACTTCCCTCCTGTTCAACTTTCATATTTGCTTACCCACCTCAAGACCTGAAACCTCTGCAAAGCCACTTTTATCATGGCACATGTTTTCCTGAGCCATCTTCTGCTGTTTAATATCAAGCATGGCGAGGACCTCCAAATACTGTTGATTCAAAACTAGAAAGGGCCATATAAGAAAGTGTTAGTTTTGAAGTGTAACTCTAACCTCATCTAATCTAGTTATACCAACATTGCATACTCATTTCTTATAAGCAATGCATAAACAATAGACATTACCCCCAAGATCTGGCTCCATCCGGAAAACCTACCTGACAGAAAAGTAGGCAGCATGTGAGATAATACATATGCAATACTAGGTGAGATGTTGTCGTTTTTAATGTGGAAGAACCTTAACTTTGCAATAGAAGTCTACTCCTTGTTTGCTCTTGGAGAATTTTCAGGATTTTCAAAAACGGAATATGGAGAGGCAATTTATTCAGAGACTTTATGGATAGTAAGATAAATGGATAGTGAGATCTCATATATTGTATGAATGCCAAATGTATGAACTACCCAAACACTATCAGATTTTTCTATTAGTTAAGAGTTTTCACAAGAGGCTCCCAAACCAAACATTTAGAACAAGAGGGGTCCTGCTATCTACTGTAGAACAGAAAACAGTAACTTTTCCCCTCCCACTGCAGGGTGGAGTGGTAGGGAGGAAGATGAGAGCTTGTGATCACAAGCAGCTTCTGCCCTGAACTAATCCAACACAGGAGGCATCTTCATCGGTCCAGTCCCTAGTGCCAACAAGCACCACCTGTGTGTGCAGATCTCAACCAGAGGCATTTACACAGCTCAGTAATGACACGATAGAAAGTGCCACTCTCAGCCTCAGGACATGATTTAGAACTTGTTTTGTCCCCTTCAAACCACTACTTTAAAAGTTTCTGCTGAGAAGGGAGAATTAACATCTCTTAAAAATTTTTAAAAAGCTAATATCAAATACCTTTATAGCTTTCCATCAACTTTCATCATAAGGTGGTTCATTATACAAGGGACATATAATGTAAAATTATAACACATAATTTCTACTTTAGTTCCCCAAACATCAGGTTCTCTACCACTTTGCTTTACACTGAAAACTAAATGAAAAGAGGGGAATGGGGATAGAAATTGCTTAATAGGTATAAGGTTTTACTTTGGAGTGCTGAAACTGTTTTGGAATTTCACCTTGATAAATTGTTTTTAATTTAAAAAACCCCCTAAATCGGCCGGGCGCGGTGGCTCACGCCTGTAATCCTAGC